ATTGAAAGTGGATGTTATCACTTATGAGATTATATATTATAAGATTATGTATTATTGTATTATGAGAAATCAGAAATCATAATTCAGAAAGTGTATACTTTTTCTGAATGTGGAACTAATGAAATTGAATCAGATTAATATATTATCATTTATCCGAAGTTGAATGTTGAAACAAGAAATTAGATTATGAGAATTGAGAAATCATAATATGTTAATGAGAAATCAAAGTATGTTAGTTGTTTATCAGAAATTGAAATAAGATTATGAGATTATCATTTATGTTTATCGGTTGATGTAACTTGAATGTTGAAAGTTGAAAATATTGAACTTGTAGTGATGAAGTCTAAACAACAATCCGGTTTTCAAAAACGTAAAAAAAATTAAAAAAAAAAACTAGATGCAGAAAAAAGAAAGGTTTATGTTGGTGCTCTAGATAAGTTTGTCCATAAAAAACATGTTGAAGGGCACGTTGAAGAGCGTGTTGAAGAGCAAGAACATGTAGTACTGGAAGCAGAAGAGCCAGAAGAGCACGTTGAAGAGCATGTTGAAGAGATTCTTGATATACGTGATCCAAGAAGGTGGGAAAAACTTAACTACAAGGAGATTATACTTTTTGGTCGAGAGAGGTCCTAAAAGAGATACTTGTATTATGTATGGCCCCTACGATAAATTTGGTAGACGATTTTCTGCAGCTTTATACACAAGAACTTTATCAAATTTGGAGAAGTGTGATAGAGAATGGCTAGTATATTCGAAAGAGCTCGACAGGGTATTTTGTTTCTATTGTAAAGTGTTTAGAAAAGGGATTTCGAAATTAATTGAGTGATGAAGCTTATTCAGATCGGCACCATGTTACCACTAGAGTTAAAGAAAACGAAATTTCCTTGGATCATCTCACAAATAGGAAGAAGTGGTTTGATATGCGTAAAAGATTGAACTTGAATGAAACAATTGATAAAGTTCAATACGAGCAATTCAAGAAAGAAAGAGATTAGTGGAAACAAGTTCTTTTGAGAATCATTGCAGTAGTGAAGTTTCTTGCTAAACACAATTTAGCATTTCGTGGAACAAATGAAAAGTTGTATAAAAAAGGTAACTAAAAAATGTATTTTTTTGTTGCAATTCCACCAAATACCTTTTTGTTAATTATTATGACTGATTCCACTTCTTATTTGTTAATTATATTTAACAGGTAATGGAAATTTTTTAGGTGTCATTGAAATGTTGGAAGAGTTTGACCCAGTTATCAAAGAGAATGTACGACGGATCACAAGTGACGGGCTTCATGTGCATTATTTTGGGCACACGATCCAAAACGAACTAATACTTTTGATAGCTCAAGAAATTAAAAAAGAACTTATCAAGAAGATAAAGGAAGCAAAGTAATACTCAATCATACTTGATTGTACTCCTGATTCAAGTTACCAAGAACAGATGACTATAATAGTGAGGTATTTAAAGTTCTCATATAATTATGTTACCGTCGATGAGTCATTCTTAGGTTTTTTGAATATTGATGATACCACCGGAAAATGACTACTTGATATTACACTTGAGGAGTTAAACTCTCTTGGTCTTGAAATTGATGATATGCGTGGTCAAGGTTATGATAATGGAGCAAACATGAAAGGAAAACACCAAGGAGTGCAAAAGAGATTTTTAGATCTAAATCCTAGAGCATTTTACACTCATTGTGGTTGCCATTCTCTTAATCTAACATTATGTGATAAGTCTAACAAGTGTGTTGAAGGAAAGAACTTTTTTGGACTCATTCAACGCATTTACATTATCTTTGCAAAATATACTAAGAGGTGGGAAGTTTTGAAAGATAATGTTCAAGCTTGGAGTCTTAAGTCATTGTGTCAAACTCGTTGGGAAATTCGGATAGAGAGTATAAAGGCTATTAAACTGCAACTTGTTGATGTACGGGAAGCTTTACTTCAAGTTGGAGAAAAAGATAATGATGCGACAATTGCAAGTGAAGCAACTTCACTAGCAGAAAAAGAACTTGGTGACTTTGAATTTTTTTTTTATCAACTGTTATCTGGTATCAAGTATTAAACCAGGTGAATATTGTGAGTAAAAAGTTACAAGCAAATGATATGCATCTTGATAATGCTATTACAGAAATAAACAGATTAATTGGATGCTTCAAGGATTATAGATAAACTGGTTTTTCAAAAGCGATTGATGAAGCTAAGAAGATTACTCTTTAAATGGGTATTGATCCAATATTTCCACAAAAGCGTTTGATTCCAAGGAAAAAAAGGTTTGATGAGAGTTCAAGTAGCGAAGAAGTTTCATTCACAGCTGAAGAGAGTTTCAGAGTCAATTATTTCTTATGCATTGTTGATCAAGCTATTTCTTCTCTTGAGACAAGATTAGAATAATTCAAAGAGTATGACAAAGTATTTGGTTTTTTATTTCCACATAATTTGAGGGGAATTGAAGATAAAGATCTTAAGTCGTCTGGTCATCGTCTTGAAAAAACACTCAAGTTTGAAAAAGATCGGATATTGATGCCGAAGAACTTTATACAAAGTTGAAATTATTTGAGAAATTGGAAACCAATGAATTTAGCAACCCAAAAGATGTTTTGAAGTTTTTGAAAGAACTTGATTATTTCCCAAATGCATGCATTGCATATAGAATATTGTTGACTATTCCAGTAACGGTGGCATATGCAGAAAGGAGTTTCTCGAAATTAAAGTTTTTGAAATCTCTTACTTACGCTCTACAATGACCCAAGAAAGACTTAGCGGTTTGGTGATGATATCTATTAAGAATGAAATCTTAGATAGTATAGACTACGGAGAGTTGATCAACCAATGTGCTATCAAGAATGCAAGGAGAGCTTCACGGGTCGTCGGTTAGCTGTTACGATATGTAATTACTCATTAAAATACTTTGATTTTGCTATGTTTATTGCTATAAAGTTTATCATAGTTTAAAAAAAATAGTGTATTTAATTTAATTCTTTACACGTTAGGGTCGAAGGGCCTTTTTTTTCCAACTCGTCCTGGGCACTTGAATCCTCAGGACCGACCCTGGTGATGCATAAACACATTAGTAACTTGATGTTATAAAACGTATTATCATGTATGAATTGATTAGTAAAGGATACAAGCATATAATTCAAAGTTTATTCGTTCCTTTTTCCCTAACGGGAAAAACAATATCTTTGGGCCCCTCGATGATTTGGTGTTGACTTATAGTGCTAGGCCTAGCCAGGACTAAATTGATGTGTTCAATTAGAAGTCTTATGTCGTCATCACAAATCGAAAATCAGGAAACAAAATCTTGGAAAATGAGATTGATTATAATACATCTCCCATGTCCATATGATATATTGTAGAACGGAGGAATATTTGATCACTTATCTTAGGACACGTATCTGACTAGGTCAGAGTTCGGCAGCGGCTTTTGGAAGCTAAAATTTGCTGATTAATTTAGAAGTTATACTGACAATTATAGTTATAGACTTATCCAAGTGGTAAACTGTTGGATTAGGTGTCTAATCCCATAACTACAATTGGTATACTTGAATTAATAGTAGCAAAGTCCTTTTTGGGTTGCCTTCATTCATAGTAATTGAACAAGATGACTTTTAGAGAGAGAGGTTAATTTATTGGTTTATTGTATTACTAATAAATAACAATAAATAATTTATTGATATATTATGAGAATAATATATTAATTAGAAATAGTATTATTTAATTAATAATTAATCAGAAATTAATTGGAATTAATTTTGGGATTAATAGAATTAATTAATAGTGCAAGGGTTAAAGTGCAATTGTTTAATAGTTGAGCAAAAAGTTCCAGAACCTTCCAACCATAGGGTGGACGGTTTCAAGAGACCTTTTTTAGGGTTTCTGAAATTATCCATGTGGATAATTAGGAAGTTTGATAATTACCAATTCAAATATAATATTATTATATTCAAATTAGGGTTATCCAGGGTTTCCATGTTGCACTATATAAAGACCTCTTGGGATCATAATTTCGTCCAACTCATAATTCCAAAAGGGAATTTCGAAATTTACCTTCTCCCTCTCCTCTCTCTTCAAGTCTCCTAGTTACTAGGGTTAGGTGTGAACCAATAGAGGTCAACATCCGTGGTGATTGCTTCCAAGAGCTTTTGAATAAGGAAATTAATAGTTATTTCCTATAATAACTATAAGGTATGTATATCCTAAACCCTTTATGAATTTCCATTATACCTAGGGTTTCTAGGGTTCTTACTTTGATGTTCTTAGTTATTGATTTTTAATAGAGAAAACATATATCCTATAGGTTGCATGTGAACTTAAGAGTTAAGTTTTTCCGCCACATGTAATTTTATTGTTTGTATAAAACCTATCATATGGAATACCTGAGAAGGGTTGAATCAGATGGGGGGATAAAGAGTACACCTTTAATGTCATGTAAAAATATCGATTATCAAAATTTGCTAGAACCCCAAGCAGAGGTTTCGTTTGATCGCATGTAGGGATTTTTCGATCTTCAACAGAGAAAAACATTTAATAAACCCTTTGAGTTGGTTGTGTTAAAAATATGTGGACTAAAGAGATTGAAGGGTAGAGGCGGCATATCCTTCTGTGGTGGTGCCAATGTCACTGTTTTTGTCGAACTTTAAATTGAACCGGAGGAGGCGCCGTTGCTGGCAGGACTGTCACCAACGCTAACCAACGGAGGCAAGCAGAGGTTGCATATTAGAGAGGAAGTGGGAATAAGGAAGAAATGGAAGAGAAAACAGAGGTGGGATTAGACGATGGGAAAAAGTTGAAAATATAAATTAGAGGAGTAACGTACCGGTGATTTTGTGAACCCTAGAACTTGCTTTTGGAATTAGAAGCCGGTGGAGAAAACGGAAGAAGGAAGAGGTGGTGGAACTGAGAGATAGATGGAGGCGGCGGTATATTCAGATAAGGAGAGAATGACGGTGTCTAGAAGGAATAGAATGGATTAAAGTAACCTTGGTTGAGGAAACCAATCCCATGAACAGTACCCAAGGAATAGAATGGATTAAAGTAACCTCGGTTGAGGAAACCAATCCCATGAACAGTACCCAGGTCAGATATTGTTTATAAGGGGGTTTGTAATTTATTATATATATAATTGGATATGGTACCATTTATAACAGCTCACTTTTAGTGGGTTTGAAGCCACCCCCCCCCACCTACCCACCCAAAAAAAATGAACCCACAAACCCAAGGTTGAAAACCAGAAACCCATAAACCCAAACCAAAATACCAACCCACACATAAACCGAACCATATGGGTTTAAAAATCAAAAAACCAACTTTCTACAGTTTGGTTGGTTTTAGCAAAAAAGCAACTCAAACTTATTCATGCTCATCCCCAAGTGTCGACTCATTTGGTATATTCGACCCATAAACGTTTTGATCTTACTGTAAAACCATTTGTCAAACAAAGAATATGCAATAAAATAACAGTATGATAAAACCCACCATCTGATGGAGAAAATAGACACAGACAATATAATAATATCATGATAAAGTAAATTTTATCTATAACAGAGATAATGTAAGATTATACTAAAACAATAACCTTTGGGATTTGATATTAGAAATATAAGATACAATTTTATCGTTATTAAACCTAGAATATAAAAACGTTTCCCAAAGATTTTCCACTTATTTATTACAAAAGAAAAAAAATATTACAACATCTTGTTTTAGTCTTTTAGTTATTCTTATTATACTATCTTCTTTTTAAATATACATCCAATTTAATTTATAATGATGACATCCAAAGATAAAACAATTTCCATTATATTTCCTTAAAAGGGAAAGATATAATATAGTGATTATAAAAAATCCCAAATATAATATAATAATTTAATAGAAACAATTGAAATATGATATTATAACATAAAAAAATAAAAAAAAAGAGTAAATTACACGAATGGTCCCTATGGTTTAGGGTAATTTGCACGTTTGGTCCCTAACTTATTTTTTTAACTCGGAAGGTCCTTACTGTTTGTTTTTGTTAAGCGCTTGGTCCCTGTCTTACCTAAAAACACTATTTTGCCATTGATTTTTTAATTTATTTAAAAAAACACACCCCTACCCCACCCGCCATCACCTTACCTTACCTACCCGAACATTTGTTCCTATTTAAATAATAGTATTTTTAGTTAAGACAGGGACCAAGCGTGTAACAAAAACAAAGAGTAAGGACCAAGCGCGTAACAAAAACAAACAACAGGGACCTTCCGAGTTAAAAAAATAAGTTAGGGACCATGCGCGCAAATTATCCCAAACCATAAGGACCATTCGTGTAATTTACTCAAAAAAAAAATAAAAGAGAAATCAAGTATTTTTTTTCTTTTTCCATCTGTCTATCCATTTAAAATTATGATAAGTGTCCAATTTTATGTTCTCAATAAGATTTCAAGACACTTATCATAATTTTAAATAGATAGAAATATAAAAAAACAGAAGGTTATTTATTGTTTTTTTTAAACGCAAAGACAAAATTGCAAAAATGGTTCATGTGGTATGCATTTTTTTGGGGTTTTAGTCCAAACCATGACTTTTTTAGATTGGTGGTCCTTTTGAGGTAGTTTGCTTGTGATTTTGGTCTTTCGCTAAACTGAAAACACTAAATTGCCATTACTATATTTATTTTCCATTTTTATTTTTTTCCTATAAGTATTTATATATATAAAATAAAAGTAGGGGCCCATATATATATATATATATATATATATATATATATATATATATATATATATATATATATATCACACTCACACACACACACACACACACACTCTCTCTCTCTCTCTTAAAGAATATTATATTAAACCTAACCCCCAACTCGTTTTCTTCCCCGCTGTACCTTCTATCTCCGCCCCTGCCCTTCGTCTTCATGCTTAGTGATAAGAAATCGAGGGTTTGGTGTTTCGATTAATCTCCTATGAACCCCTATTAACATCCTTGACCACATAATCAGTCATGGAGATATTAATTTCACAAGCAACAAACTTGAGTACAGTTTGGAGAAAATGAGGGGCTCCGATGAAATCGTGTGTGCATATGTGAAATCGGAACTAAAATCAACTTCCTACTAAGTGAAAGTCCTCTACACTTGTGTGTGTAAGTGTGTGTTGGATCCTATTCCTCCTGCGACTACAAGGCAACAAGTTTTGATTATGTTCAAGATTTGATTACAGGTCAGTTAATTTGATCTACTCAATTTTTGATTGCATTTGTCTGGTGGAAGCACTATGTTATAAACAATTTTTTTGATTTCAGCACTATGTTAGAACTGAAATCGATGATGGTGGCGGCGGCTTTAATTTTAGTATAGGTGATGATGGTGATGGCTTTGATTCACGTAAAAACATCGAAGGAGGTGGTGCTTGTGATAACAGTAAAGCGACAAGGGGTGATGGTTGGATTCACGTCATAGAGATGATGAAGGGGATCGACAATTTAGGGGGCGGTGGTGACAATGGAGAACATTGGTGGTTGACGGTGGGCGATTCTTTCCCTTCTACTCTCTTCCTTGGTGGTGGTTGAACTAGTGATGGGGGTGCTGTCCCTCGGAAAAAAGCAATGGTGATGAACACAATGGTAGGTGGTTGGAGGTGGCTGTCGGACCTGTTTTTTGGGGAGGTTTTGGGTGGTTCTCTTTGGGGGTTTTATGTCAGGAATGAGGGGAGTCATTTGGTGTGGATCTGTTAGGATTAAATTTCCTTGAATGATCGATAGATTCAAATAGATTAAAGTAAGAAGACGACAATAACTCAAAATATGCTTAATGATTCAAAAGTCACGCCTCGGAAGAACTCGACGAAGAATTGCTACTGTAGAGGCGTGATTAGGGTTACAAAGTAATATCTGAGTTACCAAAACACGATGCATGCATGCACCTTAAACACTCTAACCCTAGAAGATAACTACAGGAAGACAGGCCCAACCCGTTTACATAACAGACTACACAAAAAGCCCAATGACGCAAGATCTAATACTCAACAATCTCCCCCTTTGCGTCAATTGAGGCAAGAGTCCATTATCCTTGAATTCGCTTCTGCACTTCATAAATCTTTTGAATGAAGCTCAAAAGTACCTTGCGAACTTGAATGTACCACAAGACCATATCAAAGAAGCACTTGATGTCATCCTTACTGTTGCCCTTGAACTTATTCACCAAGTCCAATATAAACTCAAGACAGGATGTAGTGTATAGATGTTTGTCAGGAAGAAAGAAGCAGTTCTTGCGAAAGTCTGCACCAGTTCGTTCCCTAGCTTGATACACCACGAACCATCCATCCTTGTAAATCTTCCCTGGCTTCAGCTTTTCAAAGTCCTTCGAATTTTCCTTAGGAACAACAGAAGGCTTCTTTCATAACACCGTGGATATCTCCACATCCATTTCCCCAATATCTTGAATGTAAGACGTTATCATCAACTTGAGATGGGACATGTGATATGTGCATAATTAGTCATATATTTTGTGTTAAATCTTAATACTTTTTGGCTATTTTATTGAAAATTATGAACAAAAGGTACTTAAATATGTTTAAAATGTATTTGTAGCCTAAAAGATGAGCTCGGAAGGAAAAGGAAGCGGATTTAGCAATTGGAAGCTTGGATCTTGGATTTTGAAGAAAGAATGATGTTGTTGGACAGCTTAACCCATTGTCAGTGCTTTGGCCATATCTCATGAACCGTAACTCCGATTGACGAGATTCAAAATGTTATGAAAACTAGACACAATTTCGGACGACTTTCATGTTTTGAGAAAATGCTGATTCCAAACGGAATCAACGAGTTGGTCAGAATTTTCGCAATTCTTTACGCTGACTTGTCGTACACGGGATTTTAAGTGATGGACTCGTCGAGTCGGTCACTGGACTCGCCGATTCGCCCCTGTTTTCAGAATATATATATATATATATATATATATATATATATATATATATATATATATATATATATATATATATATATATATATATATATATATATATATATATAGATAGAAACGCTTCTCATTCAAACCCTAACTAATGGGGGGAACCCTTGGGGATTAGTTTGCGACTGGAGGTGCGGCTGGAAGCTCTGGAACTCGTGGAACAACCCTAACCTTCAATTTTGAGAAGATCAAAGGCAATCTAAGTGTACTCTTTACTTAATATTTTGTTTAAACTATGTGTGAACTATTAGATTTCGTTTTTGAGCTACTTTCTGTTGTAATCATGAGCTAAAACTCATATCTTCTATTTAGGGTAGATGAATTTATGACTATATGTTGATTTTTATGGTTGGATTAATCTAAATTGGTGAATTTAGTTTTGTTAAGCTTGTTTAAGAACCTTATGTGTTAATTACAACTATTTTCTGTTAATTAACCAGCATATTAAGTTGCATGAACATCTCTTAATTGCTAATCTCATATGATTTATGTGAAAACATTATTATGTGCCTAGGAATATTGAACGTGAAACTAGGGTTAACTAGAAAATAAGTAAGTTAATGTGTGAGCCTTGTGTGACGAACCATCAACAAGAGGTTAATTAAATTAGTAATATGATTAGCTAATTACAAGTCTTACTTAACCCGAATCAATAAACTAGAAAACCTATTAGTTTAATCTCTTGATCACTGCTTAAATTGATTTGTTTTCTAAGGATTAGTAATAGCGAACGTGAACCTAATCACGCTAATCGGTAGCCAATAACAATTAATCCATTGCACTTGCCATAAAATCAACCATAGGAGTAAATGAATCAAACCTAAACAGAAGTCTTCTCCATTATTGAATTTAGTTGATTGTTTATTTGCTTTAGCTGTTAGTTGCTTAATTTGCGTGTTAGTTAAATGTTTAAATTTCTAGTCTTGCAAAACTAGAGAAAACCCCCCATTTTAATTAATTGTTTTATTTAGATAATATTAGCATTTATTTGTTTAGATAATATTAGCATTTAGCTTAATTGTTTACCGTTCCCTGTGTTCGATACCCTACTTGCTTGAACTATATTACTAATCGATAGGTACACTGCCTTTCGTGTGTTTATTTTGTGTCTAAGTTAGTAGGATTAAAACTAGTGCATTTCACACACATCAACATGACAGGTTCGTATTTCTCTTTATCTTTCAGCAGCATGTTGTAGAGTACGATCCAGTCATAAGGGTTAAGACAAGGCAAGTCTGCGAGTGTAAATTCATAGACCTGGATGACTGAACCTCTCGCCACTTTGAACTTCGCATTTGGGAAGCTGTCAGTTTCGATTGGTCCTGTGACTTTCACGGCAGTTATTTTTCTTGCACACCATGTTTCATATTGTGGCTTCATGTGCTTCAAATAAAATGAGAAAAGCATGTGATCAGCCCCGCAATTTGTGGATGGAGCGTTTGCAATTTTAACAAAAGAGCGAAACTTGAAGTCCTGTGGAGTGATTGGTAGATCCAGTTGCGAATCTTGTGTGTTTTGAAGATCAAAAGACACAACTGGCTCTAACCAATACTGGCTAGGTAAATCAACAGCATCATGTTGGATTCGCTTCAAAGTCCACTTAGGAAATAAAAGCTTTTTGCTTTGAAGAGTGGCTTGAGCTTCTTTGTCAGCTTTATCCATTTATTCAGCCTCTCGGATGATCCGTTGGTGCTCATCCAGTTCAGCCTCACGAACCTTTCGCTTTTTAATCTCATCTTCATCCAGCTCTTCGTCTTAACTGTTATCTGGTCGAGGTCGTTGTCTCGGTAAAAAATAAACCTCACACGCACACTAGATATCTAGGGTAAGTAAGGGTCGAATCCACGAGGAGGTTGTGGTCAAACTTTGTGTTAAAATAGTTAATGAAAAACTACTAGCAATTGTCACGAAAAAAGATTAAAGCAAAGATCAAACAAAAAGCATGGAGATTTATTAATTAAAACGAAAATCTCAATGAGAAAACTAGAGTACTTCCGATTCAGTTATGGACAGTTTAGATTCGCACACTTTCTTCCCTAGAATCCTAATTCAATTACTTAGATGCAATTGGGGTTTATTAACTTGTAACACATACTTTTGGGCACACTAGATGTTCATTCAACTAGTTGTCTTACTCCTTTATGTCTAAACAGATTAGGAACAATTAGTGAACTAGCAATGAAGTGTCTTACAAATACCTATTACCATATTAAGATCAATATCATAAGTTGGAATAATATATGTTGATTCAATCACTTGTCTTTATTCCTAAACTAATTGAACTTGGAACAAATGATGAATTGACAATAAACTATTTTAATTATGACATCAAACAATTCATACAACCCAGTTTCAACTATCATTACCAAATATCATCACATGAAGTATAAAACAACAATTGAAATTAACTAGAATCAAGTAATAATCAAGTGCCTTCATCCAAAAGTCATAAACATCCCCGGAAGTAACCCTAATGATTTAGCCTTCCATTGAGTTCATAAAAACACTAACTTGGATGAAATAAATGAAATGCATAATAGAACTCATAAACAAACTTAGAATCATCAAAAAAATGTAGCCTAATGATTATCAAAGTATAGAACAAATATACCATGGGAAGAAGTAATCGTTTCTGAAAATTACTAGAATTGATGAGAATCACCGGTTGAATGATCTTCAAATGTTGCTTGATTATGAACTTGATGATTTCTTGGCTTTGATTCGGAAATTGATGATCAAGAATGCATTTGGAGAAGGGTTGGAAGTGTTTGGAACCCTCCAAAACTGGTGAAAATCGCAGGGGAGAAGTCCCATTTCGATTAGGGTTAAATCTCCTTTAAATAGGTGCTGAAAAACTGATTTTCGGAGCTGTTTTCCGCGTCGACCTCATAGTGGGCGTCTTAGACGTCATATAGGACGTCCGGGCATCCTTCAGGACATTTTACATGTCTTCTGCCGTCCTTGATTTGCACTTGAAAATGGCCTAAAACAGGTAGGCGTCCTAGGGGGCGTCTTAGACGCCCCCTATGACGTTCCTCATCAGTAATGAAAACAGTAGAATGAGTAAAAACACAAAACCTGAAAGTTGTAGGAAATTTTGTCTATTCTTTCTTCATGTCAATCGGAGCTCCAGATCTTGAGATATGATCAAAAAATTGAAGAGTGGTCAAATTTCTCAACACCATTTTTCTTCATTCCTTTAGCAATTCGTCTCCCATGCTTGTTAGCTTCCTTTTGCTCGTTTATCTTGCTGGTTCCGCCCACTTTAGCACTATATATTAACCTGCATATGAAGTTCAACAACTCATCAAAGTAGTGACATTCTTGGGCAATTATATATCAATTCAACAGATTTATAACAATTTAATACATTCATAAAATACACTTATCATTATCAATGATGTGATCTTCACTGAAAAGTTTTTCCTTACCCTTAGGCTCAGGTTCCCTTTTGTTAACAAGTTTAGCTGGAGCGTTGGAGTCATCTTTCCTGGACATACCTTCTCCCCCTTGTTTTAGAATAACGCTTGATTCTGGAACACCCTCCAGCCTGTGAAGCATTGCAAAGACTGGCCTTAACTTCTCAGCAAGATGTTTTCTCACTGAAATTGTGATCATTGAGTCCCTGGTCTCAATGATATCCGAAAGTAAACCAGTAACATCAGTGATACAGCTTCTCATAACGGCTCTTTCAGATAGCAAATCCTTGACCTATGTCTCAGAAGCTTCTAGTTTGACATTAAAAAATTTGATCTGCTCAGTTTTGATGGCAAGAGAGTCCATGATTTGGCTCTCCATAGCGAGCTCCTCCTAAAGCTTTGTAGTTTGAGAAGAGATAGAGGTTTGGAAAGCTTCGTGATCAGTTTTGAGACCATCGCGAAACTCTTGATGTTTTGCCTTCTCTGCCTTCAAAGTGGTGTTTAGACCATGAATGGTTTCATTGGCCGCTGCAATATTGGACTCAGAAGAAGTCTGGAACTTCTCAATGAAGGCAGTAGCATCTGAAATTAGTTTATCGACTTTTTCGGTCGAGGTTGTGCAAACAGAAGCAGAAGTTTCAACTGCTTTGTTCATCCTATCAATGTTATTAGAATGCTCCTTCGTTATTCTTTCAAAAAGGAATTCGACCGCCGCTTTAGAGTAAGCTTCAGAAGAGGAAGCCTTAGAAAAGAGAAGCAGATGGTCAATTTTATCATGTAGAGATTGGAGTTGCCCTTTCGTAACTGGGGTCTCGACTTCACTTTCAGTCCTTATTTGAAAGGGACTGTAGGTGAAACCCCCGAGATCTTCGTCTTCAGCATCACCAAAAATCATGTCTGGATCATCTTGGCGAATGGGAGAAATGGGTGGTAAGACATGAGTGGAGAAACCTGAAGTTTTAGCCCCCGTATCAGATACGTTGACTGAAACTGAAGGTACAGCTGAGGTGGTTGGTGGGATTGTGGAATCAGAAAATAGTGGATTAGATAGGGGAATGGTGTTGTGAGGTTGAGAGGAAACTGGTGGAGGACAAGTAGAAATGGTGATTGGTATTGTGCTGTTTTTAGGTGGAGGAGGAAAAGGAACAAAACCATTGTGAGTGTGAGTTACCTCAGGATCAGAAGTAGACTTTTCATTGCGAGCAGACTTTCCCTCCTCGTTGCGAACAGGTGGTTCTTCCTCATTACAAACATCTGACAAGGTGTCAGATTGCGAATGTTCACTTTCGCTAGGAGTGGGAGTAGGAGACTTTCGCTTGCGAGCGGCTTGCTTTACCTTTCGCTTTTTAAGAGCCGCTTCAGATGGAGCAGCTTTAGCCTTTCGCTTTGTTTGCAGTTTCGCAGGTGCAGACGGACCTTCCTGATCAATTTGTTTCTTTTCGCCCTTCTTTCCACCTTTTTGCCCATCTTTCTTGGGCTTGTCTGCCTCTACGAGGATGGCTTGCATTTCTGAGGTTATAGGACGAAACCCTGAAGCGATAACCTTTTTGTAGCCTTCCAAAATTTTGCTAGCGACTGGCACATCTCTGACCATAGCCTCCATAATCGATCCGACAAAAGAGAATTTGGAGTTATCGGTAAGAATGATACCGGTGGTGTGGAGAGTTGAGATTGTAGCCAACAGAGTATCCTGCATCACTAGAATTTTAAGCTTGTCGATTGCCCACTGAACAATAATGGACCAGAATCGTGCACAGGAGATTTCACTGTGACGAGAGTGCTCTGGATCACCCGAGCCCATAGAACAACTCCAAAATCGATGTTCAAACCTGTATAAATCCCATAAATAATCACCATGAACAATTTACTGGTGCAATCGGAACCTGTAACCCTCTCAGAAAATGCTTTGAATAGAAGAGTGAAGAGGCCATTCCACTGTGGCGGCAAGTTAGGTTTTCGAAACTTAGAGATGGCGGTTAGGGTTTCTTTGTACCCCATTTGGTAGAACATCTCTAACAAGGCACAGTTGGAGATGGAATCTGGGTTGATCATGTCTGCTGTTTGAGGAAGCCCTAGAATTGTACAGAATCGGGATTTGGTAATGGAGGTTTTCCGGTCATGGATTTCAAACGTGATCTTGTTCTCTTACTTAACAAAACTGGCAGAGGAGTATGCCGTGGACAGTAGAGACATTGGAACCGCCTCCATCTTCGTCAGGGCAATAACGAGTGGAGAATACTTCAGGCACTCGACGATTGGTAGAAGGAAGGCGTCATACCTGAAGGGGTAGAGATCAATCACCAGATTCTGATGTGGTTTGATAGTGAGAAGTGATGAGTGAGCAGTCTCATCATGAGCAGATGAGGAAGTAGCCATTGTTGAAGTTCTTGAGAGAAAATGGAAATCTTTGAGAGAAAATGGAAGTGGTGATGAGAGATGAAGCGCCAAATTCCCTTTATACAGTTTGGTTGGTGAGAGAAATCAGAAGAGAGAGTGTCTCGGTTATTGAAACGTCGCCTCAAAAAGCACGAATTGACAATTGTGCATGACAGAGCAATACGTCATACGTCGATAAAGTAGACGTCCGTTCAAAATTTCACGCGCCCACTTGAATTCTTATCCTCAGTGAATGCCACGCCATCTTTGCCCTTTCACAGTTGAGAGTGATTTCATTTGTCCCATATGAAAGCGAACTTCATTTTAAGAGAGCATAGGTTGAACTGCGAACCTGAAACTGAATGTAAGTACCACGAACCAGACTTTTGAAAATCACTAGGATCTTCGTGCAAGAGTGTCAAAGATAAAGAAATAAAACAATACTTGTATGTGGGATTTTGTGATGTCTAAATAAAGACACGAAACTGTGGATACCGGGAAAAGATCTCTTCCTTCGAAGTCAAGAGATACCAAGAAGTGTCTGTGTGGTTTCCCGTTGAAATACGATCAAGTGTTTGATAAGAAACATTGAAAGGCATCTTTTCTTTAGGCTAAATGGGTGGCTTAACCTCCAACCAAACAACTAACTTGATATAAGTACAAATGTTGGATGAAGTACTCGTGTGACCAGTGTAGTCAGTTGAACGAGTGGGTTTGAAATTATTTTGGTGACAAGATTATGTTCTGAAATCTAAAAAAATGGATCTTGTGGGAAGAAGTGTCGTGGGACAAGAACACGTCATAAAGATCTCGCAAAAGAAAAAGAGATTTCTTGGTACAAACCACGAAAGTGGCTTTCGTTAATTC